CAGCAGATGTTCGACCCCAAGAACATGATGGCTGCTTCCGACTTCCGCAACGGTCGCTACCTGACCTGCTCCGCCATCTTGTAAGTTTTACTGTGGTGTTGCTCATTTGATGATTTGATAAGAGATGCTAACCCCGTCTTTAACAGCCGTGGCAAGGTCTCTATGAAGGAGGTTGAGGATCAGATGCGCAATGTGCAGAACAAGAACTCCTCTTACTTCGTTGAGTGGATCCCCAACAACGTTCAGACCGCCCTTTGCTCGATTCCTCCCCGCGGCCTCAAGATGTCCTCGACCTTCGTCGGCAACTCTACTGCCATCCAGGAGCTCTTCAAGCGCATTGGTGAGCAGTTCACTGCCATGTTCCGTCGCAAGGCTTTCTTGCATTGGTACACTGGTGAGGGTATGGACGAGATGGAGTTCACTGAGGCCGAGTCCAACATGAACGATCTCGTCTCGGAGTACCAGCAGTACCAGGATGCTGGCGTTGACGAGGAGGAGGAGGAGTACGAGGAGGAGGTCCCCGCTGAGGAGCAGGAGTAGAATGCCCGTCGCAGGTCCCCCACGAGGCAGGTAGCGTTTGCAGTGTGATACCTAGCCTTGTTTTTGTTGTTTGATATCACAAAGAAAGTGTGGACAATCGATCATGCTATCAAATTCGGTTGTACCACTACTACCAACGCTGCTGGCTTTTGTTTTTGCTTGCTTGCTTGCTTGTTTGCGGTGTTTCTTTGATCATTTCAGGCCGCACATGCTTGCATGCATTTTTGACTGTTCTTGAAAGTTTGGCCGGGAAGTTGTTACATTTTTGTAATCGAACGTATTTGATTGGGAGGTTGGTAAAGAAGTTTGGCTCTTCGACTCCACAAAAAGACGAGATGGACAGACAGGCATACAAAAACCTCTCTCTATACATAAAATAAAATTGAAAAGGAATACATATGTGCCGGTTTTAGGCATGTAAAATACATCCCCTTGCAACTTTTATCAGGTTGTTTATATCCTGGTTTGACGAATGGCTGAGGCGTATCCTGAGGCGTATCCTGAGATGTGAGGCTCGGTCCTCGGGAGGGCCTTGGGCATATGATTCTCAGATTGAAAAATGTCAGTCTATCTGAATGGTATCGCATTTACATATAACTCAATCTCCAAAGGTGAACATTTGTGAACAACAATAATCCCGACTATCATCTATGCATCTTGATTTTTTTATTCCATTTTTTAAACATGTGACTCGGCGTTGGTCTTGTGTGTTCACAGGCCTCCTCCAATTTTTCAAGCCAGTCTTGTGGATACTGTTGACCTCAAGATGATTAAGTCCCGTTGTGTAAGTGAAGATGGTGGCTGTGTTTGGGCGGCTATCTGCGGAAAGGAGTGAAAAAGGGGGCTTCGGTAAACAACAACTGGAATGACGCAGATAGGCTGTGAACAACGGGAATAACAATCCGCCTCCCCATCTCCCCACAACCCCCCCTAGGACCCCAACAGTTATTGATTGTGTTGTCCTTTGCGAGATACATGATCAAAAAAAAAAAAAAAAGAAAAGAAAAGAAAATGTGGGATCACTCAAAAAGACTCGAGTTACTCAAAACCACCAACAGTGCTGGCAGGTACGATCCAACATGGGCATCTATTCTACATTATTGGCTGGTGATAATTCACTAAGGTTGAACAGGGGATGAATCTGCCACATGATCGCTAGGCGCCACATCAAGTATAATTATGTCCAACTTTATCTAACAACAGAAACCCAACGAGCTTTTGGGCTTGTTTCCTCGTAATGTGATTTCAAGGGTTAGGGTATGTGATATCACGCAGCGGCCCTTTATGTTAGATGTGATGAGTCTCCAAATTGACCCGCAGTCGTTTGTTTGACGGGATATTTAACCCCAGCTGTCATCTGCACGCAAGAGAGGTTGATGCTGTGTAACTTGATCTGGCTGTCTTGTGCCTTCCATTTTTTGAACTACCGATTCGTCTTGATGGATCCTCTGGGTCAGCGGGCCCAGTTCAGATGGACCCCACTGTCAGGCACATACGACTGAACTCGTTAATGCCGTTTGGTTTTGACGGGCATCGCCGCTGCCTTGCAGCACCGATTCGCGGGGCGGTCGGCCAGAGAGGTTGAAACCTGGGAGGGTGCCACGGGCAGTGGGCAGTGCCGGCCCGTGCCTTTTCCAAGCTGACAGATGCATATCTTCACCTTGTCCAGTTGTATATGTCTTGGCCCTTAGCGTTTCAAGCCCTGACACTACATCCCTCTACCATTCGTCCAACATTCAACGCCCCCCAAGCCCTGCCACAGACCGCATGCAAAATACTTGCGTCGATTGAAGGTCTGGCAGTGGATAAAACGCTGTCTTTACGACAGTTGCTTGCCAGGGTTTATTTTAGCTGCTGGACACGCAACCAGCCAGTCAGATGGTTCAGGCAAGAACACCAAACCATCAAACAAGCCACCATGTAAATTCCGATAGTTATCCCTCCGCATCCCCGGCTCAGCCTGGTCTTTCGTGTCACCCCGAAGCCTTTCTCGACTCTTTTCTTTGGTCTTTTGAATGCCATTCACTTCTCTCTGATCTTCTTTTATCCAACTTTCGACGTGCAGGTAAACAAAGATCTAATCGAGCTCCTTCCCTGCACCCCATCTCTTCTCTTGTATGACTGGCGTGCCAAAGGTCCAACTCACAATCAGGTGGACCAAAATACACGGTACGCTGTGCTTGAGCAAGGCTGCCACACCTTGTTTTAGTCCCCCCTCGGGCCTTTCGAATTCTTCGTCACTCCTTCTCAACTATTTAAAATCAACCTCGCCGGCGGCTCTGGACATAGCTCTGTCAACCCTCTCAGCCACTGTTCCACGGCAGGCCTCCCCACATTCTCTTCGACACGATGGAATCCGGCAGCCAGCCAACGCAGTCCCAATCGGTCACGGTAGCCGAATATTTAGATGTCGACGATGACGAAAACTTCACATGGAGCGATGAAGGCAAGGAGACGGACTCTGCATGGCTTATTCCCGTGCAAAGGGCAGGATTGGATCCGACAAAGCACAAGGTCTTCCACCACGACAATAAGGAGTACTTGAGTCCACCCCTTCCATTCATCCAACAGGGAGAACGACTCGGCGAATCCGGAACGACTCTAGTCTTCAAAGTTACTTGTCCCCCGGAATACAACTACCGACGACCATTAGCCCTCAAGGTGATAGTCTGCAATGAAACATCGGGAAACTCTTCCGGACCAGAGAGCAGTACGCGGCTCAAGGCGCTGGAGGAGATCCGAACAATGGCTTCCATTAAACACCCTCACATCGTTGTGTATGTCGCCAGTTTCGAGGATTACTGCATCCAGGGACAGGAGATGAGGGTGCGACGACCTAGAGCCCGCACCGTGTTCAGGGTGACGCAACGCATCAGAAGACATGTGATGGGGATCGCCATGTACCCGCCGGCGCAGTGCAACCTCACGGTGTTTATGAACCAGGTTATCGACATGCCCGAGAACACTGACTTCCGGGACTATCTACACACATACTTTGGCTGTCTTGCTCAGGCCGTCGCTCATCTTCACCGGGCCAACGTTCAGATCAGACACAAGGACATCAAGCCCGAAAATGTAGTTATCGATGACTTCCTGCTACCTGTCCTCACCGACTTTGGTTTATCAAAACACTTTGAGCCTGGCCAGCATTCATCAGGTCCAACAGGAAAGACAGCCAAGTATGCCGATCCCGAAGCGATCCAGGAGGCGAGACGAGACGAACGATCCGACGTCTTCTCTCTTGGGTGCGTCTTCCTCGAGATAGCCACAACGCTGCTGGGAAAGCGGCCGAGTTTTGCGGAGCAAGAGCTCCATCGCCCCGTGCCGGGCGATGGAAGTATTCTCCGTGGATTTATCTATGCGCAGGCATTGGACCGTCTCGATAGTTATCTGAACAAGCTCTCTTGGATTGCCGACTCGCTGGCCATAAATGATCCTAGCAAGAGACGATCGGCAGAAGCTGTGAAACGAATCCTCCCGCACATTCGGCGAATGATGGATATAGACTACAGACAACGCCCGTTCGCCAAGGACCTCTATCCTCTCTTTCGCCATATGTATGATGTAAATGACTCCCCCGGGCCTTGCCCAACGTGCGAGAGTGAGAGGATGGGAGGCAGTGCAACTAGCTCACCCTGGCACGACGGCTCGCGAAGTCCGGTGCTCAACAGGGCGGGTACGAGCCAAACGAGTGGCCAGACGGTTATACGGAGATCAAACACGCTGACCGGCACAACGCTCAACTACAGCCCAATCGACGATATGGACGGGATCGAAACTCAACAAGGTCAGAGGCATGCAGCAACCTGGGCCCGGAGTGCTCATAGAGGAGCTCGGACTACGTATCATACGCACCACACAAGATAATAGCTTCAGCTGTGCTGGGCGGAAACTAGAAAAAGAGAAGAGCGAAGTGACACCTGCCATCAGGCTAGAGATATGCTGCCAGCTGAAGAGGGGAGACATGCCAGTCCCATTTACCAGCACAAAAAGGGGGTGGGACCTAGAACTCTTGGGCTGACAGACGGCGTTGCTTTGGGATCGTCTTTTTCCTTTTGTTTTGGAGGATCGACATGGGTGGTATTGTGGGAATAAAAGGTGTTCTGCGAGGTTCGAACCAATATCTTTGCAGACGGGCGAAAGGGATCTCTGGGGGACAGGGGACTCTTCAGGGAGTTTGGGAAACAGGATGGGTGCAGGCCGGAGTCATGTCGGGATCCCAAAAAGCATATCAAGGCGTTTCTTCAAAGACTGGGACGATGATTTATTTGCAAAAGCTCTGTATGTAAATCTACATACACATTCAATTGCACAATTGATTGAGTTAGGCACGCAGGCGCATGTTGAACGAATGTGATTAGATAGAGGGACACACAACTGTAAAAAGAAGGTTTGTCAGCTGAGCTGAGTTTAATATCAGTGACAGTCACGGGTTCGACCCCAACAAAATTATCTAGCCTGCCCGGCTAGCTCAATCGGTAGAGCGTGAGACTCTTATGAAGTTCTCCAGCAAATCTCAAGGTTGTGGGTTCGACCCCCACGTCGGGCTCAATTCCCGGTCAACGATGATCAATTTTTTTTTTTTGGGGGGGGGGGGGGTTGGCGGGGTAAAAGAGACAAAATGGGGATTTGTGATAGCTTTTTTCTCCGTTTATTTTTTGGTTTGGGGGAGGGGGGGGGGGGAGAAAATGGGGGATGTGACGGCTTTTTTTAAGGAGGAGTGGGTGGGGGGGGGGGGGCTGCTTCCCTCTTGATTGGAAATTTCCGGCCTCAATTCAGTCCTTATTTTGGACTTAGGATCTCAGAAAGTAGGTGGTTGCTACCATTGCCGACCTCGGCGCCGCAGCCTGTCTGGAGAAAACATTTTTGACAGGGACTTTCTCTCAACACACGGGGAGACAATGCGGGCCCTGGGATGTGGACCACTCGATTGATTCACTGCCCCTTTTGAACTTGGTTGTATTGTGTCATGGACTGAAAATCTTGGGAGGTCTCGGGATCAAGTTGCAATTCTAGATCTCCCAGAATCACAGTTTAGTTGTCTAGTCTGCTCCTATTGCGGCGGGGATGTCTTCGTATATATGCAAGGTGAGAGGGATCGACAGGGCCTGGCCAGGAGAAAGACCAGGGCAGGACATTTTTTATTTTAGTTTTGAGCTAAACTCTCTCGAGACTATCAGGTAGTTGCCCCCGCATGGATGTTTGCTTAATCTAAAGTCCGCGTTTGCCAAAGGAGACGGGTTTTCCCAAACGGTTTTGCCAATGAACTCGCTAGCGCAGCTACAGCACCTAATATAATTGACGTGTTTCGGCTTCCAGGTTGTTTGGCCCGAAGGGTCGATTTGAGGAAATCCGCTCAAAAAATGAAGACTGCCATTAGGAATTCACGATTCGATGCTCCGATCTGTTCTCGATGGACGTCACTGCCGGACACAGAGGAATGGGACAGGGGCTTCCCCTCCCCCACTCGAATTGGCAACCTCTCCAAACCCCACAGATGTTCCACCAATGGGGGCCTAGACCTGACGGAAAGGCTCACATGCACGAAAGAGAACGGAGAATGGGGAATGCACGGAACACGGCCATGTGCAAGTGAAAGCACGCTAGCAGGTGCAATCCAGTTCCGTCGAGGGAAAAAAAAAAAAAAAAGCCGAAACGCACCGTACCTGCACATTGCGCGTTGCACATTGCTTACTTTGCTAGGACCTCCTGTGAGGTAGCAACGGCACCGTTTGAGCAAACGCCGCCCACCCCCCTCCCCCTCCAAGCGTGTCCCGAGACCCAGGTTTAAAAGGACCGCATGCCCAGGATGTGGAAGACAATCGCTCAGCGATCCCTCGATCCCCGAGTAAGCTCGATTTCTATAGTGACTGTTCCACGGGAGGCCGGCTTCAGGATCGACTGTTCTGGTCATAGGACTGGGAATAAAAGGAGTTGACTGGCTGTGGATGACGTTACCCTCTCTCATCGCTTCTGGCCGCACTCGCACACCCCTCCACCAGCCGTTGTTGCTCGTCGTCACCCGCCGCAGACTGACTGGTCTTGGTTCCGATCAATCCAACCCCGCCGTGCCCTTGTTGCTGTTCCCCCTTTATCAGTAGCATTACTACCGCCAATACCTATAGCATTTTTACCGCATTCAAACTTCATTCCCGTTATCCCTTCTTTATTACATCATCAGTACCAGCATAACCGTCGCCTATTTCAATCGAGCTGTCGAACACCGCAAAAATCTAATAAGAAAGACAACAACAACAACAACAACAACAACAACAACAACAACAACAACAACAACAACCAAGCATTACCATCGACCGAACCAGACCTAGAACCAGAACCAGAACCACAACCACAACAACAACCACAACCCAAGATGATGGGAGATATTGGCGAATTCAATACGGCGCGCTTCGCCGAGCCATTTGCAATAGAAGTCGGGCTCAAGTTAGATGACCTGAAGACACCAACGACTCTGATCGAGCCCTACATTCCCGACGACTTGGATCACCTCACTAATCTACATCCCCACCACGAGGACCACCTACCGCTCGGCATTGAAGAGACGGAGGAGGAACAGCAGAAGCACTGGTTTGTGGGCAGCATTGATCAGGGGACCACGTCATCACGGTTCCTCATTTTCAACGGCGAGGGGGAGCCCGTCGCCAGCCATCAAATAGAGTTCGAGAACCTATACCCCAAATCAGGGTACGTAGACCTGCCATCCATACCCTCTTGCCCAAATCCCCGCCCGGTTTCTACAAGCGACCCGCTTTCCCGCCGCCACGCATCTCCACTCCTCCGCACCTCCCGCTCCGCTGTGGAGCCCCCGTTTACCTTGGCATCCGTTCGCTAACATGTATTGATCAACAGATGGCATGAGCACGAACCACTCGAACTTCTTAAGTCTGTCGAGGATTGCATCGATGGCGCAATGAAAAAATTTGCCGAATTGGGCTACTCCAAAGATAACATTCGATCAATTGGTATCACCAACCAGCGAGAAACCACAGTAGTATGGGACCGCAACACCGGCGAGCCGCTCTACAACGCTGTCGTCTGGCCTGACACCCGAACGAACTCTTTAGTTCGGGAACTCAAGTCACGACCCGAGGCTGGCAAACTCATGGACCTCTGCGGCCTGCCTCTATCCACATACCCAAGTAGTGTCAAGCTTCTCTGGCTCATCGACAATGTAGAAGCAGTCAAGCGCGCATACGAAGAACGTCGTCTCGCCTTCGGTACAGTCGACTCCTGGTTAATATACCGGCTCAATGGCGGCGCGAAGGCCAAGAAACCCATCCATGTAACAGACAGCACAAATGCCAGCCGGACAATGTTCATGAACCTTCGCACGCTCCAGTACGACGAAACCCTCCTGAAGTTCTTCGGCATTGACAGGACCAAAGTTCAGCTTCCCCGCATCGTCCCCTCCTCAGACCCAGAATGCTTCGGCAAGGTCAGCTACGGTTCCCTCTCCGGCATTCCGATAGCAGGCTGTCTAGGCGATCAATCCTCCGCTCTAGTAGGCCAATGCGGCTTCTCCCCAGGACAAGCGAAAAACACGTATGGCACGGGCTGCTTCCTTCTCTACAATGTCGGCACCGAACCTGTAATCTCCAAATATGGTCTCCTCGCTACAGTCGCCTACGACTTCGGCCACGGCAGAGCCCCCGTCTATGCCTTGGAAGGGAGCATAGCAGTCGCAGGGTCAGGAGTCAAGTTCCTCATGAAGAATATGGGCTTCATCGAAGAGTCAAGCGAAATCAATACGTTGGCCGAATCAGTCCCCGATAATGGAGGGGTGGTGTTCGTCACCGCGTTTTCTGGGCTCTTTGCGCCATACTGGATCGATGACGCCAAGGGAACACTTTTTGGAGTCACCCAACACACTCAAAAGGGCCACATTGCTCGGGCGACGCTCGAAGCTACTTGTTACCAGACCAAAGCCATCCTGGACGCGATGGAGAAGGACTCGAAGCATAAGCTCGAGAGTTTGGCGGTTGATGGTGGATTGTCGAGCAGCGATCTTTGCATGCAAACCCAGGCCGACATTACTGGTATTCGCGTTGACAGACCAAAGATGAGGGAGACCACTGCGCTTGGGGCTGCTATCGCTGCGGGTCTGGCCACGGGGGTTTGGAAGGAGTTGAATGATCTGAAGGAAGTCAATTCTGCGGGGAGGAAGGTTTTTGAGCCCAAGATGGGGACCAAGGAGGCAAGGAGGCTGTTTAGGAAGTGGGAGCAGGCTGTGGAGATGAGTAGGGGTTGGTTGAGAGCTGATGGGGATGAAGAAGGAGACGAGTGTGAAGGTGGAGGTGAAGATGGGGAGAAGAAAAAGAGGAAGAAGGAGGAGGAGCAAGAAGAAGAGAAAACCTCAATTTCGAAGAAAAGGAGATGTGAGGAATGAAGGGAGCTGGGGAAAAAAAGTCGATGAGACGTGAAGTGTGGCCTATGAATTTTAATGAGGTGTTCTTATTTGGTTTTTGACATGGTGGTTTAGGGGGGAAAGTGAAAGGGATATGGAATGGGTTTCATTTGTTATGGTGGGCGGGTTTTGTTGATTGGTCTTCGACGTGCCTCGGCGGGCATGTTTAGCACAGCTTTGTTAGCTTTGTTTGGTATTAACATATAATATTACATATCATCATCTACTCTATGGTCTTTTATATCTGTGATTTCAAGCAATTGCAATGTCATGATTTGTTTGTTTGGGTGTTTGTGTGTTTTTTTTTTTTTTTTTTTTTTTTTTTAACCCTCCAAGGAGGGGCGCATATAGGGACGGCGGACTATCAAACTCCAAAAGGGTTATTCATTTTTCTTTCTCAAATCCTGTAATTCTATCATGAATCGATATCGGTTTGCTTTTTGCCATGTTCAGAGCTTAAGCTTGAGTCATGATCAACAGACACCCTATCTAGTTGACGTAATATTGCAATGCAAATCTTTTTGAAAATCCATCAATTCATGATTCATCATACATGCCTCGGGCGGATTCGATAAAAGTCTCGAATCGTTGCAGACACGAGGCAGGGTGAGCATAAACGTTGATGGAGACCTACGAAACCCCACAAGAGGAGGCCGAGATATGGGGAAGAATGGGGACGGATTGCGTAACCTCGCAGAGGTCTGCTGACCTCGTTCAAACAGTCTGAGAAATGCCGAACATGGGTGTAAAAATGATAGAAATACATCATAAGGTGGAGTATTCGTTATTTTAGTAGAGAAAAAGTGACTTCAAGATCAAATCAACCACGCTGAAACCCATTGTATTCAAGTTTTTTGCTAGCCCTCCCCCAGCCTATTTCCCGTCCTTGTCATATTGATCCCAGCCATTGCTGTCATGTTTTCATGACAAAAGGGCCTTCGATGATTTCGATTTCCAGCCCCAGTCCCCATCTCCCCCTTCTCTCTTGCACCAAAAAAAAAAAAAAAAAAAAAAAAGCCCAGCCACATCTCTCCACCACTGAACGGTTTTAATTATTTCTCTAAAACATGCTTCTTCAAGAAGCATGTGTACAACCCAAACTGTTTTTTCCTTTCATAATAAAC